TTATATATTTTAACAAACGAGTGTCTATCGAAAGGGTTTTTAAAATCAGATGTACCAATCTCGTTTATTGTTGGATAAGACATGATTATTTCATCACGTGCATATTTTAGGGATTTAAATATATCGGGATACGAGTGATTATCAAAATGATGCACTTTCGTGAATAAGAAAAGATAAGTTTTATTGTCTATTGTAAGAGGTAAAAATGTATGTAAACTTCTTTCTAATCTCAAAAACTCATCACGTTCGGGGTTTGGACAATTACTAATTACTTCTTGGACATAGGGCATAGATTCGTCCAAGTCCAATGAGGTTGGTATTATTACCAATTTCTGTATTCCTTTCAGTAAATTTTCATTATGTTCTGTAATGGATGTATCATATAATTTTGCAGGTGATTTTAAAAATTTGTTATAGGTTTCGTCGGATAATAATGTACTTTCAGGAACTGAATGAGGAGTTTCTGGACTTGGGTAAGTTGATACAGGTAAGGTTTCAGGATTTTGCCAACTAGTCGAAGGTTGCAGTTCTGGTTCTGTTTGAGACTAAGGTTCATCAGGTATCGCTAAGGTATCTATGGGAACAGAAGGGGAATTTAGAGGGTTAGAATGAACAATTTCATCATCTGTAGAATTAGAATCCCTTCCTAGTAATTCATCGAGGATTTCTTGAGGAATTTCAGTCATTGGTGATTCGGGTTGAGGCTCAGCAACGGGATCAGTTGCATTAATAGGGTAAAGGTTAAGGTTATCATTGTTTATAGGATATACATGATTCACAGGATATCTAGAAAGAGCGTCTGCAGCAGAGTTCAACTTGCCCTTGCGGTATATGATTTCGTATTCGTATTCTTCTAGTTTTAACCTCCAGCGTTGAAGCTTACTACTGGGATCTTTATGATTAAATAGCCATTTTAGCGGTCTATGATCGGTTACAATTTGAAATTTGTGCCCATAAAGGTAAGGACGAAACGTTTTGCAACCATAGAGAATAGCTAACAACTCTTTTTCAGTTGTATTGTAATTGGATTCGCTCTTATTAAGTGTACGTGATGCAAAGGCTACGGGTTGATCTTTACCAATAGGTCCTTGAGATAATACAGCACCTACAGCATAATTTGAGGCATCACAAGTGAGGATGAAGGACTTGGTGAAATCAGGATATATAAGCAACGGAGCAGTTGTTAATTTATGTTTCAATGTGTCAAAGGCTAGTTGTTGTTGATTTTCCCATTTAAAGGGTACATCCTTTTTCAGGAGAGAGGTAAGAGTTTTAGCTGTTTTGGAGAAGTCAGGAATGAAACGACGGTAATAGGAAACTAAGCCGAGGAAAGATTTTATATCTTTGGGGGATTTGGGAATTGGAAATTCGGTAACAGCTTTAATTTTACTGGGATTTGGTTTAACACCATGTTCAGTAATCACATGACCTGGATAACAGACTTCACGACGTAGAAATTCACACTTATCTGGCTGTAGTTTTAAGTTAAAATCTCGGATTCTTTGAAAAATTAATTTTAAATTTGTCATATGAGTTCGAAGGTCATATGCGTAGCAAACTATGTCATCCAAATATACAAAACATCGGATGCCTTGGAGCCCGGTTAAGGCAGAATTCATTAACCTCTGAAAGGTAGAGGGAGCATTTTTATTATTTTTTTGTTTCTTTTACAAGTCGAGGATGTTTTTTAATACAGGAGTGTTTCAGTAGGCTTACAGAGGAACCTGAGTCTACGAGTAAGGATAATGGGATATCTGATACTGGAGATTCAACGAGAACATGAGGTAATAGCATTTTTGCAGGATTATTGGTAATTTCAAATACATTGGATTTAGGAAACTTTGAATGATTCACATTCTGTGAGGATATGGAAGATTTTGGAAGACCAACATCATTATGTTGCTTTATGGATACAGTGGGATTTGGCAGACCAACACCTTTGTGTTGTTTCACGGATACAGTGGATTTTGGCAGATCAACACCTTTGTGTTGTTGCACGGATACAGTGGATTTTGGCAGATCAACACCTCTGTGTTGTTGCACGGATACAGTGGACTTTGACAGACCAACAGCTCTACGTTGCTGCACGGATACAGTGGATTTTGGCAGATCAACACCTCTGTGTTGTTGCACGGATACAGTGGACTTTGGCAGATCAACAGCTCTGCGTTGCTGCACGGATACAGTGGATTTTGGCAGACCATCATGTAGCGATGGTTGCAATTGTTTTGCCATATTGGTCTTATAATTTCCATATGGCGAAGTTAATTTGGGTTTAGAAATTAAGCTTGCGGTGTCGGTTTTGATATTATTTGGCCCCGTACGACACCGGGACGAGACAGTTATTCGTTTTTTGATTGAGCATCTACAGTGTCATAGCCTTCTTCTTCATGTGAGTCATTTGGATATTCATCATTAGGGGTGTTAGAAGCAAAATGGACACGTTGAGGTAACCTGGACTGATTTTGATCAAATTTAAAACGATTATTGTTATATTCTCGTTTACGACATTGTTCCAGGGTATGTCCTGGTGATTTGCAATATCTGCAAATTGTTGCAGGGGAGTTATTTGTATTAGAAGGTCGATTGAAATAGAAATTTGACTTAGGCTTTATCTGATTAGAGTTCGATGTAAGTGGATGATTGCGAGAATTAAAAAGAGAAGTGAAATTTGGCCTTGAAGTATTAGATCGTCCTTGACGTGTGGTAGACGAACTTTGTTTAAATAGGAATTGTTGAATCTTTTCTTCTGAGATCGCGATGTTGACGGCTTCATTGAGTGTTTTTGGTGATTTACATCTGACTATATTTGATAAACGGGGTATCAAACCCATTTGAAAATGATGGAGGGCTAATTCTTCCATGGCTGCTGTACGTCCTATCATTTCCCTATTTTTATGGCCATGTGAAATAGAAATTTCTGTGAGCAGTTGAGATAAACATGTTTCAATTCTAAGAGCATACTGGCTCACAGGTTCGTTAATTTGTTGTTTACATTCTTGTAGGTCTGTCAGTAAGTGGGTGTAATGTTTCCTTTCGCTAAATTGTGTTTTTAAGAACTCTTTAAGCTGCAGCCAATTGGTAAACTCTTTTACAGAGCACGCGGTTTGTGCCTTGCCTTGTAATTGGCACAATATATATTTAAATAAAATATCCTTTTGTGGTTCTGTGGCTAGGTCGTAGGCATTATTACAGTTGACTAAAAATGAGTTAAGTGATTCCCTACAACCATCATATGGCTTTATAAATTTAAGTAGAGTGGATAAATCTAACTCAATTTTATTCGCCACTGCTAATTTCTTTTTTGAAATTGATCTAGTAGTAGGTCCAGAAGGAGGAGGACAAAGGCCATCGTCCTCTGTGTCAGTGACGGCAATTTCTGGTCTTTCGAATTTTGGACTTTGGGCTCTACTCTCAGACATTTTAAAGATAAAATATTTTTTTAGGCAGATTATACAATTATAAATTTAAAATAATTTTTAAATGTTCACAATAGAAAATTAAATCAAAATAAAACAGTAATTAAAAGTTTAATATTCGCAATGACCAAATGCAAAACATCACTTACTTGAATACAGACAAAGCGATAACGACGGGTAACATTCCTTCGAAGGTATGGCGAGACGTAGATAACCGTTGCGGATTGAATTTCACTTATGATACTCGAAGCTCCTTGTGGATCGTTGGCTGTATTGATCAGCTTTCAACGTAATCGTTGGGTGGTCGTGTCTGGTCACAACACAGGGCTATATGTGACAGTGGATATGATCTGATGGTGAAGAAGGACTCTGCCTAGAGCATGAGCAGAATGCAGCAGTGAAGTTTTGAAGACACTGTATGGGCCGTGGTTAGGTCTAGGGTGCACTAACACTTATACACTTTGTACTTTTATTTTTCTTTATTTCACATATTATTATTTTATGTTTTTGCACAAAGATATTAACACTTTTACACACGCGTCGAATTCGCGTAAACTAGGAGACGGTACCGGGGACTTTTAAAATCCCTTATCGCTGCCACCAAAAATGTTACGAGTGTCTGGATAAATATGTTTTTAAAAAAAGGAAATTGAAATAAAAAATAAAATTATAATTTGTATGGAAAGAGACAGCCGACTGGCGTGGATGTAGGATGGATGGAGACTGAATAGATTGACGGGCGACTGGATTACTAATGATAGAATGTGCTGAGTAGTTAGAAAAAAGCTATGTAAGCTCAAAGGGGTGCATAGCCTATGTATAACAGTTCACAAACCATCCCCTCACTGGTAGGATGTACTCGTATTTGGAGATTTATTGCACATCCCTTGTTGTTATATTGAATTTCTACCCTTTAGATGGATGTGACTACTATAATGTTTTCCAGTAACACTTTTTTTAAATAAAAATCGCGGTTTTAAATTATTCGTAATAATACTTTCTAACTTAATTGTTTACTTACTGCTTATTTTTTACGCAACATTTTAAATAAAACTATTTTATCTAATTATTTGCTGTAAAGTACTCGAAACGTCAGGAATCAAACATCGAAAAAAAATAAAAAAAACCTCTTCGAAAAAAATTTAAAAAATATATAGGAACCACCTAATGTGTGTTCACCTTGTAGTGGTGTGGAGACTTATTACCGTCCGGCAATCAATCCAGACGTGAAGCTAAGAAACACACTGGGATGGACCGGTGCGAGTTGTACCTGGTAGTTCTCTGAGAGCAGAGTGGACTGTGGGACCAACCCCTTGGTTGCGTGGTCTGCTTCCGCAAGCCAACCGTCGGAACCTCATGGTTGAGTGTGGAAGCGATCCGGCGGCACAGCATTAAGAGGGGGAGGTTCTGTTGGGTTTTTATGGGTAGTGCTGGCTTCTCTAGTTGGTACTGTCTTTATGCAGATGGTATGCCTAAGTTCATTTCCTAACGTTAAAATAAAAAAAGGTTTGAACTGAACTTGGCCCGATCCGGGACTCGAGCCTAGAACCTCCGCACCTGCTAGTGGCTCTAGTAGCTAGCATGTACGGCCACATGCTAGCCACTAAACCACCGATGCAGGTATAGTCATCGGAGAACGGTATACGCAACTTTTTTCTTTTCACATACCTAAGTTTAACTAAACGTAATAATAGTGATTAAAATAGCCTATGTTACTTAGATATCATATACTTAAGTTTTCTTACAATAATAAATTTTTTAGAAGTAGTTCTGTATTTCCAGAGATTTTTTACAATCATTCAAACAAAAAAGCCTTTATAATTGTGTTATAAAAGACAATACTTATTAATGAGAAAAAAAACATAAATCTTTCTATGATAGTATCATATAATTATCAAAATGTAAGAATTATTTTTGATGATAGTCTAGTTGAGAGAGTTAGTATATTTTTACTATATTTTTATTGAAAATACACAGTGTTGTTTTCTATTTATCCAACACCTGCTAAAACAATATTGATGCTCCCCTAACAAATATTGTTCTTAACGTTTCTCCTTAGGGAAGTCCCAAAGGATTTTTTGTTTTAGAAGAAACTTTAGTAAATAATTTACAGGCGTTTTTTACGCTTACGGCGGAACAAAGTTTTTTTATACTGCCCTAGGGATGAAGACAAATTGTCTGTGATTTAAACAATTTTGGGATAAAAGTTCTAATATTTTTGGTGTAGTGTTTTGTAAATTTTAGTGCTTGTAAACAATATAACCAATCATTTCTTACTACAAGCGATTTACCCTTGCTTCGTTTGGGCGTATCCCTAGGTGCCTTTTGTGTTTATAATATCTAGCGACTCACAATAAAATTAAAAACAAATCTATCCCACGGAAACCGTACATTTTTTTATAATAATATATGGCCTATAAAATTTCTCAATAAACGGGTTATCTAATGCAAAAATATATTTTTTCAATTGGATTAGTAGTTATTGAGATTAGCGCGTTCAAACAAACAAACATACTCTGCCTCTTTATAAGTATAGATTATACACAGGGAATTTTTATTGCTAATAGAAGCCTCTGTATTACTCCAGATCATAGTCTATCTGTATACTAAATTTCATCCAAATCCGTCCAGTCACTATACACTCGCATTTTTAATAATGGTGTGATTAAGACAACCGACTTTAAGTATGAGGCACTAGTAATGTGTACTTTATATGTAAGAATAAAATTGTAATGTATGAAAACATCATATAAATTGGTGTAGATATCAGTGAGAGAGGACAGTGAGATTTGAGTGTCAACTACAGCCCCAGCATATCATTATTTTCTTCAAGTACGCTGGCAGGGTGCTTAAATAAAAATTTAAGGACCTGGTCTGCTTAAGTATCTTTAAGCGTGCCTACTTTTAGAAGAACCTTTATTTAAAATAAAAAGAGCAATAATTATTATTAAATACTCTGTTTCTTGTAGTTCTAAATTACAAAACTATTGCCTTTACTATATCAACCTTTGTACACGCAGCGGCTCTCGTGTACTTAGAAGCAATAAAACGACGAATCTTTTGGATCAGTTTACAGTGACCCTACTTGCTGTAGTTTACTTGAGTACAAATAATCGTGCTCATCACACTAATGAATGCCCCCAGCGGGACTCGAACCCGCAACCGCTGACTCAGCAAGTAGGATCACTACGAACTGAGTCAAACGTGTTGTCAAATATTACTAATAAGATTTTAATAAATTCGTAGTTTCAAATTAATAAGACTTAGAAGTAGGTGAAATCGACTTCTAAGTTTTGATCAAATAGTAACAAGTAAAGTTAGTATAAGCTTAATAAATAGAAACCTAATATATACAACAATACTATTTCTAATATTGACTTATACATTGTTCAAACATACAATCTTTGAGTATACTATAATTGATACACTATATTAATGACTACTTATACAAATAACTAAGCAGTGGTGGTAACCCAGTGATAACGCTCTTGCTTGGGAAACCAAGTGAAGCTAGTTCAAATCCCGTGACTCGCACCTCTGATATTTGCAAGATTCGTTAAGTCCGCCAAGCCGCACTAGGCCAGCGTGGTGGGCTATGGCCTTATAAGAATTAGTATTTCGTATTGAAGAGAGGTATGTGCCCAACAGTGGAACGTTAAAAAAGGCTGAATACATACAAATAACTAGCGACTTCTCCTAGACTCTGTCGGATGCGCCCATAGCCTATGTACAAAAAGCGCCACCGTTTGACTTTTATTACTAACAGGAGCCTGCATTACTCCAATCTATCTGTTTAATAAATGTTATCCAAATAAGTTCAGCTGGTCAGTGTAAAAGAGTAACAAATACACATACAAACACACACATGATTAAAAAAAATTGAACAAGTGCAAGTCTAATTCGCCCACGGAAGTTTCTTAAACACGAAAGATTAAAATAAGTTTGTAATCGAAAAAAATAATATTTTTTGTGATGTAACTACACGGTTTTCAGATTTCTCTTCTTACTTGTGCTATAAGACATTTCTACTTGCCAAACTTCATGATTCTAGGTCAACGGAAAGTGTCCTATAGGTTTTGATTCCCTTAATTGACATACAGACAGACCTTTTTTTGCGGGACGGAATCTTAAAATTATTATTTTATAATTCATAATCATTTTTCTTCTGCAGGTGGCGTTTGGTCCCTCCGAAATCTATCCATCACAGTACCTCGGGCAGTTCTGTCTGGTGAGGGGCAGTCAGCGGTACTCCGATGTTCCTACGATCTTGAAGGAGCAGCTCTCTACTCCATACGATGGTATCGCGCTGAAACAGAATTCTACAGATACGTGCCACGAGAAATGCCTCCAACGATGGTCTTCCCGTTACCAGGTGCTTCAGTAGATGTACGTATCAGAAATGCGTCAAACAAAATTTTATAAAAATAGCATATTCGTTTCTTTATGTACATATTCAATTCAATTCTCTTAATAATGGCTTCAAATCGTGCTTGTTGAGCACAGATTACTTCGCCAATATCACGATATTAGTATGGAGAAAATTATGTACAGATTTAATTTACACTAAATGTTTTTAGATACCGTTTATATTCACATGGGACTAGAAACTTTAACGTAAACATAAATTGTCATAATAATTTAGTATATGGGTAGTTGTAATATAGTTAGCAGTAAGTAAATGTAACTACATATTATGAAACTTGCCGATGCAATGCTAATGGTCAAAGTCAAAGGTAACTGAGAAACTAACAAGCTATAACCTATATAATTAAGTCATTTTAAATAGAGTACCTGGGCGACCGAGCTTCGCTCGGAGTTTTTGGCCGAAAAAATCATAAAAAAACTAACTAAAAATTTGAATAAATACAAAAAAAAAAAACAAAAGTGAAAACTTTGTATCCGACCGGGATACGAACCCAGACACCTGTGGTTGTCAAATTTGCTCCTTGGCCGTTTGACCATGATGCTTATATCCTAGCGTGTGAATTATCGACCATATCAACCCCGAAACCCCCTGTACACTAAATTTCATGAAAATCGTTGAAGCCGTTTCTGAAATTCAGATAATATATTATATATAATATATATAAAAGAATTGCTCGTTTAAATATATTCGATAAATGTATGGAGAACACAAACAATAATAATAAAATATGTAATTTTATTGTAATTAAGGTAACCTCTCTCTCTTTCTTGTTTGCAATTGTATATGTAATATAAATGTTTCTTCAGTAAGTAAAATACTTGACTATTCATAATTATTTTCAAATAAACATATTCGTTGTGTATCGCTGTCGCTATCTTATTAAATAAGCAATTCTTTCGTGTATATACATACATATATTTCTCTCTTATATCTAGGTAACGCCTGTAAAGAAATTTTATATTTAGATAAGGTTTTGCTTTTCTAGAGTATATATAGAGGTACCCTTTTTGGATAAACGCAACAAAAAAAAAAAAAACGTCGTGTAAAGCTCGGTCCCCTAGGTACGGATGTATATTTGAATAGACAACCTATGCTATCTCATAGTTAGAGAGTATATGTATGTATAGTAAAAACCTGTAAAGTAATAAATGTTAAGTTTTATGTACTAGCTTTTCCAAGTAGAAACCTTCTCAAGGAAAAATAAACTGAAAAGAACGATTAATTTACATAATCGGTCGTTTCTTTTAATAGAAAAACATTGCTTACAATAATTGTAATCTTACTACTATTATAAATACGAAAGTTTGGATGGATGGATGTTTGTTACTCAATCACTCCAGAAAGGCTGAACGGATCTGGATAAAAAGCTCAGAGATAAATGATAGCGTGGAATAGCACATAGGTTACTTTTTATCCCGGAAAAATGTACGGTTCCCGTGGGATAGATATATTTTTATTTTTCACAGAGCAAGGGATAGACTTTTCCATACTAACCGCTAAAAATATGGGTAATGTATTTTTTCCATATCATCAGCTCGCACAATCAGATCACCAACAAGTACGAATAGTGAATCTCAACAGACGCCTCAGTGGGGACTACCAGTGCGAAGTGTCGGCAGACGCGCCACTCTTCCACACAGATATACGAACAGCCCCTTTAACTGTAGTAGGTAAGTTGAACCATTATTTCATATTTTGATGACTATGATATAATTCTTTCTTAGACTGCGAATATTTAACATTTTAAATAAAACTATCTTTCGGATGTTTCCACAAATTAATTTTGACTTTTGATGCCCGATATTTTAAATGCGTTTGCTGTTTTTGCATTTTTGACATTATTCTCTAAATTTGTGGGTAGGCACACCTTTGAGACGTCTAAAACCTTAGTCTCTCCCGTGACCATGATTGCTTTAAAGCAAATCAGCTGTAAGCTATCGAAAAAGTATTATTGTGATGACCTCTAAAAAGATGAGAGCAAAACCAAAAAAAGACAAAAAACTTTTGTTGTACCTGAAATATTTGTTTATAAAAAAAATTACATGGTTATTGATTACAAATTATTTAAACATAAAATTTAATCTAAATAATTCTTGTAACGCTATGACTATGAAGCATTATATCACTATAGACCAGAGTCGATAATTTTTAAAACCAAAAAAAATAATAGTAGCATGAAACTCATTAGAAAAGAAGGGGAATATTATAAAAATGAAAGGAAAAATAATTTACGGGCGATCTGAGGTTGGGAAGGGGATGGGGGTGAGGTTTTAAGGGTAAAAAACGGTTTTTCTCGATTTACGGCAAAACTAAAAGTCCTATCGAAAAAAGTCAAATGGCAAAGTTGTAGGTAATAAAAAGATCTAAAACTTTTGTATTTAAACTTTTTTCACATAACCTCAAAATTTATGTGAAAAATTCAAAACCCAAGATTTTGGTTTTTTATTTTTATATTACAAAAATGTTTTTGTTTTAACGAAATTTGGTGAAAACTCACCCGTCAAAATATAAGCTTTTTTCAAAAAGTTGGTATGTTTTCTGTTCGTTGAAATCTCTACTTTCCGATGGTGAAAAAAAATATATATGTTACTGTAGTAAATCTTCTGAGAAAATGCAAAAAACAAAAAACCTTTTTTATTTCATACACTTGCTTATCATCTGCCTTATTGCAGATGATACAAACAGATTCATCCATACTGATAATCTGAAAAGACAAAATCGAATTAATAATGCCTTCGCTATTTTGTCGTGAGCATACCCCCATGAAAAAAAATATATTAAAGAAATAAATGTCAAAATGTATAAAAATATATTATAAATATATTAAAAATCTATACTATACATATTTTTATGTATAAATATATAAAAAATATGTATAGTAAATATATTTTTAATAACTAACTTTTGGCTGATTTTCATGTATATTTCATATATTTTATTATAGATTTTTAATATATTTATAATATATTTTTTATAAATTTTGACATTTATTTCTTTAATATTTTTTTCATGGGGGTATACTCACGATAAAATAGTGAAGGCATTATTAATTCGATTATACATATAATAAAATTCTAAGTGAAATCTGTACATTAAATATTTTTTTGGGAAATCTAATTGAAATAGACATTATTTTATACAGAGTCCGAATCTATAGTTTTTAGAAATTTTGTCTGTCTTTCTGTCTGTCTGTCTGTCTGTCTGTCTTTCTGTCTGTCTGTCTGTCTGTCTGTTACCGCATCACGAGAAAACCACTGGACAGATTTTGATGAAATTTGGTATGATGATAGCTGGTTATCCGGATCAACATATAGGCTACTTTTACCGCGGGAAAATATTTCATTTCTGAGAAAAAATACAAAAACACAAAAACTGCAATCTAAGAGTATACTAATATTATGTAAAACCTAAGAATTAGATTTTTGGTCATCTGAACGCGGGCGGAGCCGCGGGCAATGCTAGTCTTCAATATATGAAAGTTTTATAGCAAAATCTGCAACAATTTTCATTATATTGCATTGCTTCAGATCCACCGTTCCGTGCACCACGACTAACTGTTTCCCACAGAAGTTATTCAAGGGGTGACGTCATTCGTGCCAACTGTTCTATCGATGAAGCATACCCTGCGCCAAATATTACGTGGATACTAGACGATCATAAGGTTGGTGCTTTTCTTAAAACCTTTACCTTCTCATTTCATAAGTCTTTCAAATGTTATGTTGGCTTAGTATTTTTGCACTTAATTTATTAAGCATATATTCCAAATTGTTTTGTGAGTCAGTGAGCATTTTTTTGTTTTAGAAACGTCTGTAGTTAGCTCATAATATATAATTATTTGATGTTTATTAGAACACAATTTTGTATAATACGTAAAACAATACCTTTGAATAAAAAAAATTAACAACATTGAAACTGTATCAACATGAATAGAAAACTTGCTCGGGACCTTAAAAAATAGTAACAGAACAAGTTTCCTCATTTCCATAAAATCACACTCGGTCCCCAAGAGTGCTACGGACATATAAATAGATTTTGCTCAGCTCTAGGAACCTACAAATTGTCTGAACGACGCAGCTCTCTAAGGATCTGGTCCAAAGAACCTGCGAGGAATTTAATTCAAAAGTGTAAAATCGCAGACTCCCGTGTAAATCGTAATAAGTGGGTAGTTAAAATATATGTTACGACTCACGGCTGGAGTTCAGAGCGAGATGTTTTTAACCTGAGATGCCATTTACCTGAGTATACGAGCTAAGTTATTTTTAAAGGGCGATGATAATTGAAGTTTACGGCATGCTTTTACCACGTTTTGTATGGAGTTGAGAAACCAAACAATATTTGCCTCTTGCTAAATTCCATAAAGATAAAGATATTTTTTTTTACAAGAAACTGAAATCTATCAATGATAACAAAATAGTTTCATATCTAAATAAGTACGAATATGTATTGTATACTTTATAAAATAATCCCAATACTACGTTAACACCTTCAAGTAAATATCTAAGAAATTAATTAAAATTCTAAGAAATCTAATGTTAACCGACACGCCAGCGTGTCCGTAGTCGTGGAGGGATTAAGTTCATAATATGAAACATAAATGAGAACGAGAGAAAGCATATTTAAATTTACAATTCTAAGTTACAAGTGTACGAATTCAGTAGCTGGTGTTAATAGTAGGAGCAGGAGCTGAGATCCGCTCAAAGACGAACGTCTCGCGGGAAATCTCGAATTGTCTTGCAAGGACTTGAACTTCTGGAGCTTTAGTGTAATGAAATGCGCAACTACATACGAATGTACATTGCAAATTTATAACGTATTTTTATTTACATTCATTTGATATGTCTATTATTTACGAATCGTGATCGAACTTAGTACATGGAAAGTTTTTACTTCAGAAATGGGTACTATGCTGATTTTTTTGATTGTGCCGGAAACTTTTCTCGAGCTTAAGAAAATCAGGAAGTATTGTACCCCCAAACTATTAGATGGTCAAAATGGAGCTGAGAAGTCTTTTGAAGGAATAGCAAATTCATGGTTAAAATTAACACATTCATAAAATTGTTATTGTAGAGAGTATATAGAGTTGTAGCTTGACAATTCTGTATAAGGGGATAAAGAGGTTATTAGTCAAATCAATTAACATCCCTGTTCAAAATTTATTGATATATTTTTTTCGTATACTTATATTATACTAGCGAATTACATTCGCTTCGCTCCGGTGCATCCCTGGGTAGGCGGAATTTATTTACATTTTTATGGACTTAAATTTTTTGCTCAGAACTCTAATGTCTTTTCTAGAATAAAAATAGCATCTAGTTACTCTTTATAAAATCAACTATCTGCCAGTGAAAGTCTCGTCAAAATTGGTTCAGTCATTTTAGAGATTAGCCGGAAGAAACAGACAGACAAAAATTTAATGACTTAAAAGTACCGTATACACTTTCTTATGCATTTAGTAAAAAGCTGTTATTTTGATATTACAAACAGACACTTCAATTTTATTTATCTGTATAGATAATACTATAATTTTATAATAAAATACTATAATTTTATGACCAAAATAACTTGTAGTGGAGTTCAGATGAAATACTATCAAATAAAAGACCTACGTGAGGTGAATACAAGGGTCGAGCAACATTCGCTAACGCTTCATTCTTACACAAATTCATATTTCTTTGTAAATAATTTTGTATTCTAGAATAAATGGCTCTTAGTCCATTTCGTTATCTCAAAGTCATTTTTTTTATTTCTCTCATCTTTCCAACAGATGTATCTACTAGTTTTTTTTTTATGAAATTCGAAAATCTGCTTTTATAGACACTATTTAAAATAAATGAGTAAAATTTCGAAGTAAAAAGACAATATATGACATCTCATATAATTAAACATATATCATCATATATGTTTAATTTAATCAGCAGCTATATAAATGCGATTTTTTTATGTATGTATGTTTGTTACTTCTTTACGCTTTAATACGTTAAGCGTGAACCGTTAAAACGTACCACGAGACAAACCCCAGCGGAGCAAGGGTGAGTCGCTAGTTAGATATATAGACAGTGATTGACAGCAGCTACTACGGCTCAATCTGGATTGGACGAGTGCCACTCGTCGTAAAAAGAAATTAGAAACATATAAAAATAGGCGAATTATGTATATAAATAAACATATTGTCAGAAATATACAAGCGTATTCTTTTTTATTGAACTATAAATGAAATAATTGTATTATACAAATAAACTTCTGATACTATTATTGGGGCATTACAGGGTTTTGTTGGTTTGTTGTTGTGTTAAAAGCGCTTTGTATTCGAAGTGAAGAATTTTATATAAATAGCAATTCAAGAAGATTTTTCAATAATAAAAGTTACATTTGTTTATCAAAGACTCAATTGTTTAGAAAATAAGGGTTTAGCTATGTAGTAACATAGCAATCAAAAAAATCAACGAGCAAACGAATATTGAAATGTATGTCAATAAAAATATCGAGTCGGTCTGTACATACATATGTATGTATTTAAAATACACAACCTGCGCTTTGTTTTTAAAAAGTTGAGGCTCCACGATCCATAAAATGGGTTTGTTAAATAAAACCACATTAACAGTTCAAAAAGGAAACAGTGGTAGCCCAGTGGTAATGAGCTCGCTTGGAAAACCAAGTAAAGCGGGTTTAAACATGGGTCTCGCATCACCATATTTTCATGTTACAATCATTAGCCTGAGAAAGAAAATATCAAAAGAAAACCTGCTATCTAAAATCTATTTATGAGAACCTCGTTTTTAAAATACACGGGAAGGACACCAACCCGCACGGTACCAGTATATTGTTGACCAGTCGTACCCAACAGCATTAAAAACGTCTGAATAAAAGTTTGTTCAAAAATAAAGTTTAAAATTAAATATCTTGACAAGCCAATATAAAATACAGTCTAAATAAACGAAGCTGTTGAGAAAATAAAAACTATCCAACAGTTCGAATAACAAAGGCCGATAACTTTTTCTCTAAACGTCTTCTTTGTAGTTAAAAATTCCAAAGTAGTCCCGCCTTTTAAATTATACAAAAACACGGCGTACTTAAAATTCATGAACAATCAGAAGTTGGTCGGCATCGGTGATTCAGAGACATTACCATACCGAGAGGAGTTCGTTTTGTGGAGATGATGAAAACGAATCAGACGATCAAAATAAACATGGCTGTTATTTACTTGTTTTTGTCTGCGCCATCATTCCCATGGTAAGCTGAGTGGACGTTAAAGATAGCCTAAGTTTAACCCTATGATGCCATCTATGTCCTTGCCAAATTTTATTAAGATCTTTTTTTTTTACGTTGGGAAATGCATTTACGCACGACGTGTGGGACTCACCGGCGTAATACAGCCAGTACTACCCACTAAAACCCAACAAAACCTTCCCCCGTCTTAATGGGGCGTCGCAGGATCGCTTACGCATTCAACTACGACGCCCTGACGGCAGGTCTGCCGAAGCAGACCACCACAACCATGGGGTTGCTCCACAGTCCACCCTGCTATCAGAGAAGTACCAGGAGCAACTCACATGGTACACCGCTCCCCGAAGAAGGCCACCTCCCACCGCCCACCGAAGTGGGCAACCTCCCTGTGCGTTTCTTAGCTTCGCGCCCGGTTGGATTGCCGGGCACTACTGAGCCCCCCCCCACCACGACAAGGTGAACGCACGTTGGGGGGGAAATTTTATTAAGACTTGTTCAACTCTTAAAACGTAAAAAAGTGACAGACAGACAGAGAGATTCTTACTACATGCATGTCTTCAACTGTATGTATTCAACTACATAAGACTATGTTCTTACGTCAATTTGTTGATATCAATTTAGTTCACACTTTACGCCATCGGATTGGTGTTTTCCTTATTAAATTTTAAATTCTTATTATGTTAAAACAGTGGAAAGACACATAAAAACCCACTTCAAGTATAAATGGTTATGTAGATATACTCCTTATATTCTGTGCTGGTGGTACTAATTATGAAGTAACCAATATTACTTCATAATTAGTAAAAAACATTAGCGTTTCTTACTAATTTTTAGAATTAAGTTATTATGAAGTAATATTGGTTATTTATAAAGTTTATGTACATATAAATTAACATACAACTAGTATATATATTTAAAACAATAATTCATAGAAGTACATATAAAAAACTATATGAATACATTAAAATCAGAGAATCAAATAAAAAGCCTACAAAACAGCTTTCCACTTTTATACCGTACCTACTTGTGTTTGCATTTCGCTTTGCCCTGAAACTCGTCCACTCGTTAGCAACGGAAAGGTTTCTTTTTTCTTCAATTTGGTTCGAATAAACAGACTGATTTATCCTTTTATTACTATTGCATCAACTGTTCTAATGATCTTGGAGGGCTTTGATTCCCTTTCATTTGAATCAGCCTGAATATTTTAAAATGTATGAAGTTTTTGTTTTAATGAGACCAATCGGATACGGGTTTAATTTTTAATTTTTAATCCTATAGAAACTCTTTTTTATCTATTAATCGCCATTTTTTTAAATAGAAGTGCCGTCCAATACTCTTTTTCTGAAGCAAAATGTAATAACTATAAATCTTAAATAAACACAGTATTAATTTATTCGCCATTCAATTGACACGACTTAACATACAATTCTGATTTATATGACAAAATAAATCAAATATAACAGTATTAATTGACCTATATATCAATATAAATCAATGATTCAATCAGGATACTGAAGCGATCATAACTAATATATATTACATGTATTTACTTTCTATATTACGAAATAAAGAAGTGGTAGCCCAGTGATAACGTGCTCACTTGGAAAACCAAGCGAAACGGGTTCAAATCCCGGGTCTCGCACCTCGAATATTTTCATGTGCGAATCATTTCCAACGTGATTTATTACTAAGCTGTCATTATAGTTGCATGTATTATATTATTGTGTATATTATGTATGTTTATTATTATTTTATTATATTATTATGTATATGTATGTTTAATTATTTAAACAATAAATATTTATTGTATAAATATGTAGTATTTTATATATGTATTTTTTATGTATGTTTATATTATGTTATATGTTTATTGAGTACACTTTATGCACCTTACCGCTTTCTGTTAACTTTTGTATCCTACTTCTAGCGGTTGCCTGTAAGAGATCACTTTTAGTGATAAGGCCGCCTTTGCACATTTTTTAGATGTTTTTTTTGTATGTATCATTTTTATTTTTGTGTGCAATAAAGTGTTTAAATAAATAAATAAAAATGATTACTGTTTGTTAATCCGGTTAAGAGAACATCGTGACGAAATCTGCGTGTTTGCGAGAACCATTTATTAAAGATAAAAATTTATTTCGAATCACTTTTGACGTATTCTAATCGTCAATAAAAATAATTATAAAAATTGATACTTAAAATTTAAAACTATTTTGGTATTATAAATTATAAATAAAATAATGCTTTTAAGAAAGTACTCGTACAATATTTTTTATTTTAAATGTCAAATAGTCACGTAAATCCCGTTTACAATACTTTAGCGCAAAGATATTTTTAGAGAGACAAAAAAAAACAAAAAAAACCGCGGAAAAATACGAAAAATATTTTTATTTAAAACATACATAAATAAATAACATGACAATTTTATAATAGATCGCAGAAACAGTATCGTGGAGGACATCAGAGCTGGACTTCAAAGAACGAGGGGCCTTCAGTGAGTTGGAGCTCACCATACTAGAAGCGGAAAATTACAAAGTTGGTCTCACATACACCAGCGCAAGTCTGAACAGAGTGTACCAAGACCATTATGTATACGACCGTGATATGGACGACGACAGGAATACTGTAAGGTAAGTTATTATTATAAGCTAAAATATTTATTTTATTTCTTTATGTACAGAAACAGAAAACTATAAAAAAATTACAACTACGTGTTTAAAGCTAAAATATCATTTTAAATTTGCTGTGCAGTTAATTTATATGTACATAATATATATACAACATTCAAATAATACTATCTTAGATTTACGCGAATATTTGACATTTTAAATAAAACTATCTTGTCGATTTTTCACAAATTTATTTTAATTTTTGGTTCCCGACGTTTCGAATGCTTTACAGCAATCATGGTCACGGGAGAGACTAAGGTTTATGATGGCTCAAAAGCATTACATATATAGTTGTTACGGACAGCCTACCGACAAATTAACAAAAATGAATTCAAAAAATGCAAAAATAGCATCATCATCAAGTACCTTACAATATATTTTGTTAATTTTAATTTTAAACATTTTTATAATTTTAATAAGTTTTATAATTAAATATGGAATAATATTTTGGAATTAAGTATATTAAATATTATGGAATACGTTGGGAACCAAAAAACAATATAAATTCGCGAAAAAATCCGAAAAGATAGTTTTATTTAAAACATTCAAATAAATATAATTATATAAACAAACCTAACCAAAAACCTAAAAAAGAGAATATTACAGTATTTGCAGTAAGTTAAATAAAAATATTAAAAACAAATATTTACATTAATTAAAATTAATACAAAGAATGAAGCAGTATTCTTGTGAATGGTAAATATGTCGACAACTTTTGTAGTAGTAATCTAATTTGTATTGTCAATTCAATCAATTCTTTTGTTTCGTGGCTTCTAGGAGTCATTCGACACACTTTACTTCGCTAATGTCGCATAAAATGAATAACACACGTTATGTATAGAAAAATAAGTAAAATGGAAGAAAAAATACTAGATCTAATTACACGTAGAAACAGGGCAATTCGTTGTATTATTTTGGTGCAAAAGAAAATGATGACTTATTGGTTAGAATCAATTCATATAACATAATGATATAACATAAATATATCACACCATAAATATACATGCGAAAGTTTATGTGTGTATGTTTGGCATGTTTTTACTCCTTAACGCCGAAACTACTGGACAGATTTGGATAAAATTTAGTATATAGAAATACTTTGACCTAGTAAAACATAAGCTACAGTTAGTGATAAAATTTGCCAGAAGAGGGCGCTGTTTGTATATGACCGAAGCGAAGGAAGTCACTAGTTAATTAAAATACAAAATATTCTTAGAATCATTAGAGTAATAAAAAATTCAACTAATCACAGTATTAATATTACTAGAAAGAGTTTACAAATTACGTAATATCCCACTTCCAAGGCTACAACACTATCTCGATATTGGAGTGATTCTTGTTTATTTTCCTTTTGCCGATATTTATAAGGGTAGCTAGCAGTAGCCATTCATCATACTAGGGCTTCTATCGATAACAATTTACAAGATAATGTCGACTTTTTGATAAAATAGCTTAAAATTATTACTGAAAACCTATATGTTGTAGTAATCGAAGCAAAATATTTTATATTATCATTGCTATGATACTTTGGTATTATCACTCTAGTGTCGCTAATAGCATGAGTATAGTATACTTGTTACTTCTAAACGTTGTAAGTTGTAACTTAATATACCTTCTTGAGTGAAATCGAATGGAGATGAAGTTTTACATGCAGTATCCACTTAATTAACAGACTATATCTGATTTTATCGACATATTAAATTATCAATACGGAAAGTACTGTAAGAAAAAACTAGTTACTACTAATACTTTTTAATTAGTAAGAAATATGGCCTAGTCTATCTCCACTACACTAAATCAGTACAGAATTTCACTTAAATTTGAACTGTTCTTGCGTGAAAATATAGAAAACACAAATATTCACAAACTTAACATCAACAATATTAGTTTTATAAAAAATTTGAAAATATTAAATAAATATTACCAAAATATATTCTTTTTTTGTTCTATTTTTTTATATTTATTATAATTTTTGTTTTTCTCAGATACACTATAGTCCCTCCTCATAGCGGCCAGTTCGCTCTTGGCTGTGTGGCAACAATTTTCGACATATATGCACGAAAAAGCGAACCTATCTACATTAGAGAAGATGCTCCGCACCCAGCCTCAGTCACCGGAGAAGATTCATTGGGTAAGCAAGTGAATACTTTTGGATAATCCTTAATTTTGGACTTGGACCAAATTTTTTTAATCCAATTCAATTATCTTGTTAATGGATTCCAAACAAGCCAGTTGAGTATAGACTACTTCGCCAACGTCACGTAGAATGGAGATGACACGAAGGAACGAAACATTTTAGACTTTTGCTTCGCATGACATCTTTACTTACTCGAACTGAATTTACCTTTTAATTCTGAAATATCCTTGAGCTTATCTAATATTACGTTATCAAAAACTTTAAAAGTTATTTTTTATTACTTAAATATCAACTTTAACTTCAAACTTATCAAATAACATTTGTGAAATATAATACACACGTATAAAATTTTACCAATATTATGAATACGAAAGTGTCTTTTAGTTTATCAGCTAGGCCATTTTTCACGCGATTAAATTACATTTGATACGTATAATTGGATCATGGACGTTATCTTTTCCATACAAGTTGTAACCCAGAGAAAGAAGAGAACAAACGATATAGACACTTTTTATCCCAATACTTCATGTATATACCGTGGGATCTTCATCACTTGCACACACCTGTACCAGTCACTAATTTACTTTAAAATAGAAAAGCATTTATTCACTAGTAATATTTATTTCCATTGCAGGTACAATCACAAACTACAATATGTTATTAACAGCCGTTTGTATCTGCGCCGTGATGCTGCACCAATTATGATCATACTGCAGAACTGTAACATCTTAAGGAAACTGAATGTTGTGATAGACCTTAAGGACCTTTTAGAATTCAGGCCATATTTGTAATTAAATATAAGAATCGTAAGCCTCGTATTCTATATCGTTGGTCTTATGTTTCAAGAGATGGATAAATTGGAAAGGTAAAAAAATAAAGGAAATGAAAAATCTCGTAATATTAGAGCTCTAAAACAGGTATTTTGTCTAAATAGTTGATACACCTCACTTATATATCAAGGAACATAAGAAAATTCGAACTGAGCATTTTAAATACCAGACTTCGAATTTTCTAATCATTTGATTGCTTTATAAATTGGAGCAAGTGAGTGGGCTATTGGAACGGTGTCTAAGTAAATGCGGGCTTAATTTAAGTGCTAGAAAAGACTAAAATTTCTTAGGTAAACGCTTTTTAGAAGTGTGTCGATTTTTTGGTACTATAACGTCTTGGTCAGAGTTTTTATATCGGTTTTTAAGATATTGGAGGCTAATATGTCCCTTCTCAGAGAAAATATTTGCATTTGCTTCATGTATTTTTGTATATTCGAGCTCTGGCATGGGGTAATTTAATGGGAACTATAGGGTTTAAAGTCATTAATCATTTATATTTCAACTGGCACAGTTCAAAGATCCTCAAACGATAGTCTATCAGACCGCCATCTCTTGAAACATAAGAAATTAAAGTAATTTACGTAAATGTTACAAAAAATTGGCTTGATTCTCCATGGTCTTGCTAAATAATAGTTGATATTATGTACAATCGGCAACCAAAGTTTATACGTAAAGTGATGCAATTTTGTTTTAATTGTCATGTAAATAAATGACAATAGTGTCAATTTGATGATTGATGTGTTACATGAGCTGTGTTGCCGTGTGTACTAGATGTAAGTTATTATGAACTTATTTCAATGTTAAAGATACTATATGTGAATATGTAAATAAATTTATTAGTTACTAAATGTCTTTTTTTGTTTTCATCGTATCCTTTAAGGAAGTTTATAAAAGCCATAGAAAAGCTATAAGTAAATCGCACCCTAATGCTAAATAAAGAATTAAAAAGCGAAATTATACAATAATAAATTGCACTTTTCTCTTAAAGAAAAAAATAAATATGAAATTATAAGTGGAAATACTTACTAGGGAAATTACGTTTTAGAATCAAATCAATTAAAAAAAAAGAATAGAGAAAAAGTGGTCCAAGAAAAAAGTCTAGCAATGTTACGTAATTAGTAGTGATTGCATCTCTTCATTTTGCAGAACGAAATAATAAGTAGAATTCAAAAAAAAAGTATTGCACGGATTTCTATACAACTTCACGCCAACAGAAATAGGGATCTAAGAAGTTTAAAGACTATAATGTACAAAGATTTTGAATAAATAATCTAAAGATATGATGATTACGATGAAAAAATCGTCTCTTAACAAAATTATGAAAATCATTACAAAAGAGACTTATTTCCTCGCACACAAAATTATGGTCACAAGTCCATTACACCATCAAATTTGATTAAAAATATTATATTTCAACAATTCATACTTCAATATTTAAAGACTATTTCACATTTCACTAAATAAGCCAACACTTTCAAGTGTGATAATGAAATGAACATCTAAAGCAGAGATAACTTAATACGAGGGAAATATACCGGTTGAGTTAGTTCATAAAAATGTAAAGTAGAACCTAGATTTTACGCTGAGCTGTCTTCGAACCTGAAGGCATGAACGAATCTTTATGTAAAAGATATGGTATACTAAGTACTGAATAAGTTCTAAAGTATTTAGTAAGTTGAGAAATATTAATATTATTCATACTTTATCTTCTTCCAGCGGTCAAAGGTGTAACTATTTAATAGAGAAGATGATCTATTATTCCATACATAATATAATAAAATCGTAATTGATCGCTGTCTGTACATGGAAGATATTTGATATTTATTAATGGAAGTATTTATTAACGTAATGGAATCCAAAACAATGATTTTTAGAATGTTTGTCTGTGAATTTGTGCGTGCTAATCTCAGAAACGGCTTAACTGATTTGGATGCCGTTTTCACTAATGTATTGTGGTAAGCTTTACTTCACATTTAGTATTTGTTTTACTTCAATCGGTTGATAGATAAAAAAGTTATGTCAAGTTAAAGAGTCACCCATGGACGAATCCGAGCGAAGCGAGGGTGAGTCGCTAGTCAAAAATATTTTTGCACTCTAAGCGATAATATCACCAATAGCGTACCCATTTTAACGAATAGATTACACTCCAAAAATAATTTTGCTCGTAAACTTTTAACTAAAACTTTCTTTTAAATTGATTTTGCTATCGATGTATCTTTTTAACTAAAATGTTTTTTTTTTCCTCTTCCGTTCTCATAAATATTCCAAGGAGATCAAAACCAACATTTGTTTGTTCAACACAACATCGCATTCTGAATCTTTAGTTCATAAGTAATGCTACAATCAACCTTTATCAACAACAAATGCCTATAAGCTAGACATATTAGATTAAGTTTCTCCGTAGTACTATTACAAAATTTAGTAGATATTCTTGTAAAAGATTATTGTAATCTATAACAAAAGATATTACTAAAAGCCAAAAGATATTTGCAGAAAAGTTTAGTAAGATTAATATCTTTACTAAGTTGGGTAGATAATACAAACAAGTAGACGTAAGCCAGTGGAACGCCACAATCAAATGTACCAATCTAGACCAGTATCGAGGAAATACAAAATGAATTTGTTCCAAACGATTTGTCGTTGAAATGCAAAATACACCTTCAACTAAAAAACTTTCCAGTGTCGTAATACAATCCGCGATAACTCCACTCAGATCGAATTCTCTTATTCAATTTCGATCACAAATTGAAAGGAATTTCACTTTTAAATCAATTGAATAAGTTACAATTTTGCCTGACATCATGAAGAATTAAGCAAGTCTTCGAAAATTATTCTTGATAAGCGTTGCTTGCGAATGCTATAGCTTTTATATCAATAAGAACAAGGTTTAGTTTCGGTTAAATCTGTATGAAGGCTAAGATCGTTATTTCTCAAGAGGTGGAAGGGTCCTACAGTGAAGCATCGGATTGGACCAAAGCCAGGGACGAGCGGCTAGTCCATGTTACTGATAAGGTTACTGTGGAGAAAGTTATTTGGAATTCTATAGTCTTAAGTTGTTTGTTTTGGAGACATCGCGTCTTCTCACTGCATGTTACATGTATACCTATGTTTACTGTTGACTCTTTTCCGCAACTTTACGATATTTTGGACAAAAATATGTCTTATTACTTCCTACTAAATTTATATGATACAATCAAAATAAACAAATTTCTTAAACCTACCAATTTATTTCAAATATCGCTTCTGTACAGCAAAATCAAATATTTACATATATTTGCCTAAACCTCTTTCATTAAAAGCACCCGAAATTTGCACGGGTCGCTAATTTCTTTCATAACGTCCATAAGAATCGAAAAGGCAGTAGTTGCGTATCTCCTGAAAATTGTAGCGAAATCCGAAGTAATATATTCATTGGGATACCTAATAAAATTGCCATCGGCCTTGCTATTCACATATCATTTGATCGGTCCGTAAGAGTTCCTTTATAAAGAAATCTATTATGCCCATTCTATATCTTTATACTTTTTTCATTATATTTTATTGGGAATTTTGGACTATACGTATGATTTATGTCATAGAACTGTTTATATCCTTTCATGACGACATCAAGTCCAATCCAAGTTGAGCCTATAATATTTAAATCGTAGGTAATTCGTACAAATACGTTTGACGACACGTTTGGTTCAGTTTGTATTGACCCTACTTGCTGTGCCAGCGATTGCGAGTTTGAGTTCCGAGGTTGTGTGATGAGCACGAATGATTATACTCCAGTTATGGGTATTTATATTTATAATATGTATGTATTTAAAGTTATATATATGCAGTTTATCAATTATCTGGTATCCATCACACACACACAAGCCTCGTAGATTACCATGGAACTAGATGGTGCTATGTGTTAATGTCCCAGCATATTTATTAATTATTTTTTTAATAGTCCACATTTCAAAATTTGTTTACTCAAATATTCCCGTAAATTTAAGAAAGTATTATTGTTTATCGGTTTAAAAAAATGTTTCTGTTTTCGGTGCTATTTTCTTGTGTGTATGTCAGGTCATAATAGTATTGCTAGTTTTTTGGGCCATATATGAAAATCTTTTCAGCAAACTTAGAACTAAAAAGGATTTAGCTGAAAAGCGTTATAGGTATATAATTAATTATATTTGATACATATACTACTTTTGCTGCGTAAATGTACGACTTTGACTTTAACTTGACTTTGTTTTTAAATTCTGACAACGTAAATACAGCGTACCTACATGAAAAGTCGAATAGAGCGCTGCGCAGTAAATCAATCTATATTTGAAAAATCTTATTGAATCATTCTTATATATAGGTAATCAAATTAATTAAATTTAATTACCTATATATAAGAATTAAATTAACTGACTCAAATCTGTACATTAATTAATATTTTGGAAAATTTTATTGAAATAACCATTATTATCGATACAGAGGCCAAATCTATAGTTTTTACAATTTTTCTCCGTCTGTCTGGAAACGCATCACGAGAAAACCACTGGACAGATTTTGATAAATTTGGTACGGTACGTTGGTGGTTTGTGGTTCGAGTCAACATATAGGATACTTTTTACTGCGGGAAAATATCTCTTCTCTGAGAAATCTTTACTAAAGGTTAAAACGAAGCGAGGGAGAGTCGCTAGTCTATGAATAAAATTAAAGCCTCCATCTTTAACAACATCTCCTCATGTGGAACTCATAACATGGTTTTTCTATAAGACCGCTGGAACTATTAAAACAATCTTAATGGGATTTTCAATGACTGACGATCGAAGGATCACTGGATCGAAAGTAATATAGCATTTTTATCTCTAAAAATTTGACAAGGTTTTTAGGATATTACGAAGAGAG